TCTAGGACGAGTTTTTATAGGCAAATTGCTGGCAGACCCGTCAATGACAGGTGAGTTCAGCTTCGCATTGATTCTCGCCGGTCATCAGTGTAGAGCGGAGAAGCGCATGCCGTGCGGGCATGGCAAAGCCTCATCAGCACCACTAATCCATCCCAATCAGCAAAGCGTCCGCGCCCCACGGTCCGATCGAATCGTGGGGTTCAGAAGCCTTGGAGCCCGATGTTCGGGACCTGTGGGTGGGCCGGATCGCTATGTTCACCTGCTCACCAGAGCGCATCGCCTGCCTTCAGCTGCGGGGATGTGGCGAGGCGATACGTTTCAGGGTGTGGGTTCAAATGCCATGGTCCCGCGGGTCCAACGGTGTACGCGACCGCGAACTCTTTGGCAGAGCGGGAACGGGATGGAAAAGGCCGAAAGGGAGCAGGATAATCTCTCACAGGGACGCAGGAACGTGGAGGTTCATGCGCGGATGGATGCTGTCGGAGAGAAGTCCGACACTGGCCCCCCGTTTCCCCTTGCTCCCCGATCCAGTGACTTTGCACACCTCTTGTTACACGAGATGATCGGCAAAGCAGCAGATGCGGCTTCAACCAGCTGCAGCCACTACGTGTCACGAGCCCGCCAATGATCAAATGTCGCGCGCGCATTCTTCGTCCTGTGTCACCTCGATGTGGGCCTGCTTGCGTGTCGCATAAACGGTGTCCACGATCCCTCCAAGTTCATGTCCCTACTGGTCCCGCCTTGCTTTCCTCCAATGCTCTGCGTTGGCGCGCTGGCCGCACCGTTACGATTGGGTTCGGAGCCATTGATTGTTGTTGTGTGGGATGGTGCTCCGCATGACGACAACGCGAAGCCATACGTCGCATCCCCGTCGACGACGAGGTGCCTCCTCATCTTGCCCAGACGAGCGCTTGGATGCAGCGGACGGAGGCCTCGCGGTGACGAGTTCAAGATTGGGAAGTGCGTTGCGATGTGGTTGTTAAGCGGCACTGTTTCTTCCCCCCTGCAGTGCACTGGCCTACCAGGCACACAGCGAGTCCCGCCATCGTCCCAGGATCGTGGCTTGTCTGAAAGTTGGCATGTGAGGGGGTGGGTTTGTAAGTGGGACGTGCTCCGTGCACGCTGTCGTGCGGGTCGGTCTTTTGCACGTCGGAAAGCATTTGGAATGAGTGAACGTGTGGGAGAAAGCGTGCATCGGGACGGGAAGCTGCAGCTAGGAACGCGGTCACGATCAGTGCTGTGGCTGCCGATCTACGTGCAGCAGCAGCAGTAGCAGCAGGAAAAGAGGCGTAGGAGTTCCGCCCACCTGCCCATGAAATGCTGCTTACAGTCGAGGCTCGAGTAGTGGAGAGGGGCTCGAGATGAAGGCAGCAGTCATGCGCCCGGCTGTGTGGGACGCTTTTCGAGCGGGACAGTATCACTGGCGAATGGCAACGAGCGAGACGAGCAGGAAGCACGACCCCGCTGATCGTAGCCACAATCGTGAATCGCTAGGAGCAGTTCTGCACGCGTTCTTCTCAAGGCACCAGGGAGCAGCGCAACTTCAACTCGAACGCGACTCCATCGGGCCGAGATCGGAGGCGAACTTGGGTGGATAGTAGAGCAGCGAGAAAGTCAGTCAGTCAGCCAGCCACTCGGCGTTTCGCGCCCAGATTGCCCTTTACAGCGCTCTGAAGATCCGCAAGGGCGCTCTCACGCAGCCGTCATTCGCCTCGGCAGCGCTTCCCTTGATCGAACACTGGGCGCGACGCCTGGCGTGTACGCGTTGAGCCCGAGCACCCTCACATCTGCAGCCCTGAGCCGCCGATGGGTCAGATATAGTGAAGACACTCAAGGACCGACCAAGATGAGCTGGAGGATTTGCTTCCCAACGCCCGTTCTCAAGCTCCTTGTCAAGACGCTGCGCGCGCGTTGCAATGCGTCGACCTGTGGTGCGGTTAGTGCGACAAGTTGAGACTGCTTTGAGTGATGTACAGAAATGAAGGGCTGCCGCGAGACGAGACAGTCGCTCGGGCGAGCGTGATTGAGACAATCTTGAATGAGAGCTAGACGCTTTTGCGTGAACGGATCTATGCGCTGTGCCTCTCGTGAACTGCAAGTATTGGGCCGGGTAGAGAAGAGGAGTCAGTTCAAAGGCTCCTGTATGCACGCATCTTTCAGCTAGCTCCGCGTCACGGGCCCGGGACAGCAGGAAGCGACGAAGAAGAGCAGGGAAAGAAAAGCCAAGCTGGAAGCCATGTCTCCCGACCCCAAGCTGGTGGCCATGTCTCCCGACCACTCGTAATGACCGCCGTCCGGACGACGACGGCATTGCGACAACTATTGCGCGGTCCTAGAAGCCCTAGCACCTTCTCATCCTCATCGAGAAGCCGTGCGACGAGCTGAGGGAACAATGAGACCCACGACTCACTGTTGTAATGCAAGAGCTTCTCGATCAAGTCCACGTGGGTGAGGACCATCCTCCTACAGCAGTATCTCCTCATGCCCAACTCTGTCAGCGCTTCGCCCTCGCTTTTTCCAGCCAGCAGCAGAGCCAGGTAGGCATTCCACTTGTCGCCAATCACCTTGCCGCACGAGAAGCAGCGAACGGGAATGATCTGGATGAAAGGAGATGGATCAGTTCGGGCCCATGACTGACGGTTTTGCCCCTTTGTATGCTCACCATCGCGGAGAAAGGCAGCTAGCGCGAGAGACGGCCTGATCTTCGATTTGATAGGCCGGCAAGCTGGTCGAGGGGCAGTGAAGGTGAGGAGCTAGGATAGAGAGCGTGGATGTATTGCTGCTCGCACCCGCTTGTTGAAAGAGACGCGCGGGTTTTCGAAATGAGCCTCTCGTGCAAAGGAGTTGTTGACCCGAGGACGCGGGCCAAGGCGATCTCAGCCAGCGCTCAGAATGAGTGAGATCCTACCGAATCGTGAGGGTGAGGGAAGGTGGAAGGCTACAGGAAGGCAGCATTCGCATGGGCGGATGCATTCAGAGTCTGTGTGGACGGCCTCAAAAAGAGGTGATGAAGCGGGCGATGAACAAATTTCAGTCACGTGCACAGGCTTGCAAGGCGCTCGCCAAGCTCGTGCGCTGCAAGAAGACTGGCTGTGTCCGTGAAGCACAGGGCAGCTGGTGCGCGGCGCAGCGCGTCGTGAACTTTCGCAGAGCAACGTCAAAGGGAAAAAGCACGGAGCCAACCGGGATTCGCGATGGAGGGCAACCCCTTGAGCTACGAACTCGCCATTCCTCCTTCTCACCCATCTTGCGTCCACCCTTCGGAATTCAAGCGCCAGCGTCGTGCCTTGAGCATCCACGAAACAAGGTCAAGATGGCATTCACAGCCGCGGTAAGTAGTCGTCGAGAAGGTGCCTCGGAGTGGAGATCTTCACCGCGCTGCATGCTGACCCTCGGCTCATCCTCAACCCCTTCCTGACTCTGGTCATTCAGCTGCGAGCCAAAGGCTCGAGCACTGGCGCATTTGCAGCTCTTGCTCTCGGAGTCGGTGCATCTACCAGCACTGCCTTGCTGATGCCTGTGCTCGCTGATGGGCACGAGTCCCACAAGGTACGTACGCCGCAGGTGCGGTCAATCTCGATTCACCATGCTCGCCCGCGTTCTGACCTTTGACTCTCCCTTCATACATGCGCATTCTAGCTGCCCATCTATCCTCAACCCACACCACCAGTGACACTGATCGAGACCCATACTGCTTTGGAAGGCCATGTTGGGGACGCGAGGCGCGCTTTGCAGAGCTCGTTCAGTGATCTGAAGGGCTACGTGCAGAGCGGAGTCAGTCGATGGATTGGTGTGGAAAGAGCTGTGGAAAGTGAGTGTGGTGCTGCGCATCTGCGCACGACTGAATCGCCTCCGCCTTTACCGTTTGCGAAAGGGTGACTGAGAGCTAAGCGGCACACTCGATGCCCTCGCCCACTTTACTGCTTCCTCGCAGACCGTGTCTCTTCGCTCGTTTCCGACAGCGAACCTCTTACACCCGGAATCCTCTACATCGGTGTCGCCACTCTTGCAAGTTCCGTCTTCACACGATATCGTGAGGCAGCATCCGAAAGTCTGCAAGTTGCAACATAGCAAAGCTGACTCGATCATCCTCTCTTCCGCTCAATCCAGGTGCTCTTCCGCTGCGTCTCCTGACGCCTCCTTTGGCCCTCGTCGTGTCTTCTCAATACTTTTTGCCAAAGACAACCTCCAATGTCTCTTCCTACTACGTCGAGCTGGAGGGTAGACACTTCCCAGCTGTAAAGGAGCACAGGGAATCCGCGCTGCAGTCGGTTCGAGGTCTACTGAGCAGCGCTGGAAAGAGCACCAAGGAAGCTCGAGAGGAGGCTGCAAAGGCATGGAAACGGAGTCTCAAGAGCGTGGAGGACGTTAGCGGACTGAAAGTAGCTGGTCAGGATGCCAGAGATATTGCTCATCAGGTCGAAGCCAAGGCGAAGAGTGTGTAATTTGCTCGACCAGGTCACGCTTTCGCCTTCACTTCAGCAATAGATGTTCGTATTCTCGGTCCCGATTCTGCAGCGCCGTTACAGTTGATCGATTGGGGAGGCGGACCGGGCGCGGGGGGCACCGCTGCAAGCTCAAGGCGCAGGCAACTCGACGCACAAAGACGTGTTCGACCTGGCATCAGCAACAAAGCGGCCGCATCCACGGCGCTTGTAAGGGCGGCGCCGGTCAGCCCAAGCTATAGGCGCCTCTGCCTCACCCAGCAGCCGCAAAAGTATGAAAGGAAGGCGAAAGAGAGAAACAGATAGCGTCAAAAAATTGATTGCTGGCCCACTCTGTGAGCGCGTTCCTCATTCGCCTGGCGGACCTCTTTAAGGATGGGCTGCCGCTTGCTAGCCATACTTGGCCGTGCCGCAGGTTCAGACCACGCAGACGGACATCTTGACGGGCAGTGGCCTATCTGTCTGATGCCCGAAGCATCCGACGCCCCGTGGACCTGAACACTGAACGGTGGCCGCTGTCTGGCTGACCGCCTGTCTGGTCTGATGCTCGAGTCCTACACTGACGACGTCCTCGGTTCTGCATGCATCAATGACGAACTTGTACTAATACTCCCAGAGCGGGGGTCGAACCCGCAGCCCAGTGGACTGCTGCAGGTTCGCCGCGCCGTCACGGAATTTGGCGCCGCCATCCGGCCTCGGTTGAGCTACGCAGCCGCTCTGCAGGTAAAAATCGGACACATGTATTTATTTTGCAGGACCGAGCAGGCTTTCACAGCGCATTGCGTCCACCTCACCTCTGACCCTAGGCTAGATTTGTGTCAGGCGAGCTCAACCTCGCAGATCGGCAGATCGCATTTGGGCATTGGTCGCCGCAGAAGATCACAAAGCAGATGAAAAGGCGATTACGCTTGCGTGTTATTCACAGACGGTATCAAGGTCTCCAATCTTCTCAAAAGGGAATTGGAGCAAGCGGCAAAATCGGCGCGCGAGTGGCCGTAGGTCCAAGTGATCGACACGAATACGCTTGTGGGCTGCAAAGGTCGTTCAGGTTCAGTCTCGCTCCAGATCGAGCGCTCGGATGAATTTTGTGTCGGAACTTCGCCATGAGACGTCCCGTAGGCGCCTTGGTACGCGCTCTCACAGCGGAGGCACAGAATCGGTGCAGTGGACGTTGGGACAGGCTGTGCCGATTGACCCTCTTTTGATGCTCTTTCCCTGGCCCTGCGCGCAGCTCTCGACCATGTGTCAACGCTGAAGCTGGCATCAAGAAGCACACGCTCGGTGTTTTCGCCCTCATCCTTCTGATCTGAGCTTCTTTCGGCTGGCTCGGACCCGCACAATTCGGTCACTTGAGCTGTGCCTCGCAGCAGCTCGGCCAACTTGCCGAGCAGACTCCGAGGATTGTGGCCCAAAGGATTCTGTTCGAAGGTCTTGAAGACGCTGTTTGACGGAGGAGCATGCGTCCGCAGGGAGGGTCCGACATTTCGCGCCACGCTCTCCAAAGGCACACGGGGATGATATGAACATCTGGGCGCATCACTGCGCCTCCTTGCGTCTCGACTCACATCTGGTAGACGATACGCTTGGTGACTCCAAGCAATTGCCCAGCGCCGCGTTCGCCCTTGCACAAATTCTGCTAGGGCGTAATTGTCGATCTGACGGAGCTCTCGGTCAGCTTGTGCTAGAGGAGAGACGCCATTTTCCTAACGACTTACTCGATTGCTTTGCAGCTCCTTGACTACCGCAGAGACACTGGAGATTTTGCCGAGCATGGACGATAACCACCTTGAGTACGCAACGACACCACGTCAATTCAGCTACAAAGTGTATCCGTACGCGCACCGCCAGTGAGGAACGCACACAATCTTCTCTCGTGCTTCAGGAGCAAGACTTTCGCGTATCATGCGTGTCACAAAGGCAACCTCGCCACCTTGAGTGATCATTTCGATCTCTGTACCCGTGCATGCCTAGTTAGGTGCGCTGATGCGGTCAGCGGTGAGGGGGCCCAGTCTAACAGACTCTTCACTTACTGCGCTCGGATTCTCCACCTTTGCTTCGGCAGATTCTTTCATTTCGTCCGTACTTGCGTAGAAAGGTGGGTTGCACATCGTCGCATAGTACAGAAGTGCCCGTTCGGAAGCCCCGGTGCCTTCTGCATGGTCCAATGGGAGAAGACTATCACTCTTCTTGCGGAAGAGATAGAGAATGCGATTCTTGAGGCGCTTGCTCTCGTTCTCAGGAGCATCCACAATCTTTTGGGCAAGTCTCAGAGATTCTCCGTCAATGTCTGTCCCAAAGGGTATTCATCAATTACTGCACACCGCACTATTTGACACGACATGCTCACCAGTCGCGGTGAATGTCCAACGGTCATCCAACGCGCAGCCCAGCAGAGGATAGATGCCGCTTGCTCCGGTGCCACTTCAAAACAAGTGTGTTTTTACACCTCAGCGCCCTCTCTCGTCGTTATCTCGGTCTACTCGCTTGCAATCTCACATGTCTAGAATGTGCACGGACCCTTCCGGATGCCCGCTGGGTTTGTCATTCTCGATTCGCTGCCGCTTGCTTCGATGTTCGCTTTCAATCGCTGCGGACGAATGGGTTGGGACATCACACAGCGCGGTCGGTGGCGATGTGCCTGTCGTGCCACTCTGTAGTGAGGCAGCCAGTAGATCTTGCACCCAGAGAACGTAGTTGAGTCTGCAAGAGATCTCCCATCGGGGTCAGCGGCGATGAGCCAAAAGGAGGAAAGCCTGATCCTCACCTGTTCGGAACCTGCATGAAGCGTCGGAGCTCTTGGTTGGTCAGCAAAGCCTCCAGCCGCTTCACACTCGGGCCGACAATTTGTTGTACGGCTCACTGGAGGACATAGACGATCGGCTGCTTGAGGCGCGTGTATGCCAAAATCGTGCAGAAGCAGCACCTGGGTCAAAGCTCTACATGTCAAAGGCTTGATCAAAGTCAGAAAGCCAGTTTGAAGATCCAATGCTCTTTTCGGGCCATCGAATCACCTGCAAGCATCGCCATTCTGAAAATCGATGAGAACTCGACCGTTGCTTTGTTCAGTGACACTGCCAGGTGATTCAGCAATCGAGTGAGAAAGGCATCGTGCGACGACGACAGCATCTCAGCAAGCTCGACGCACTGCGGTCCCAGCTGTTTTGGGTATAGCTTGGCAAGCTTGTCAAAGTCAGGCCGCTTCTTCGCGTATGGACTGCGGGCTGTTCCGCGCAGCATGGTGGAAGCGTAGAGTCAGAGCTCTGCTGCGTGCCACCTCTACGAAGCATTGTCACGCACGGTGCATGATGACGACGCTCTATGCTTGACGAGTGCCTCCCGATATTCGAGCGCTGCACGCATCAACTGTATGCACTCTGGGGCGAATGGGGTTTCAGAGACCATCGCTTCAACAAGACGAGGTTGCACAAAAAGGACATCGCCATCCTGAAAGTCACGAGTGAGAATTGCGCCGCATCGTGGATGGGTCACGCTTGATGACCCTTGACTCGCTGCTGATCCAATCACGTCACGCGTGCAAAACCACGTGGCCGCCATCTGATGTTGGTCTGCATGCAAGTTGAATGCGCGTGCGGGCCACGCGCGCAGCACAGCAGTCAGCAGAGTGCGCGTGCAAATATGTCATCAGCCACGGCGTGCGCAGAGACGTACACACTACACGCAGGCTGTGAGTGATTGCACGCGCTGGGTTCTGCGCACAGTCGTGAGTTAACGGTAGGTAATCACGGATGACTGAATCTGAATTTGAATGGTGAATCTGAATCGTTAATGTGTTGTGAATTTGCTGTTACTCCGAGGTTGCGTTGCTCGTTATCGTGGTCAAAAGTTGAAGTTCTGAGCGAAGTCGTACTGTATATCGCAAAGCTCGGACGCAGATCATTCACATTAGCGCACGCGATCTGACCCTAATAATTAAACGCTTTCAAGGCAGCAGACGCGATTGTTACTGTGCGTGAGTTCTGCAACACACACTCCAACACGCTTTTGTGCCCATCATCTGCACAACACCCACAACCTCTTCATCAAGCCTCGTGGCCAACCAACTCCTGTCGCCTCCACTGCCATCATTGTACTGCCTTTGGTGCTCTTGTCCGAGAAACAAGAGCGCATAGAAGGAACAACACCCTAAACCAAGGTTCGGATTTTCCAACGCCATCGGGTCGAAACCGAAAACTTCTTTGCAGGGCTGAACCTCGAACATCGGTATCACCTCAGGTTTTGGCGTGGAACAATCCCGAACAAGACGTCAAGATGAATGCTGCCGAGCTCCTGCAGAACACGCTCTCGCCTGGTAAGTTGCGCCCGCACTGCAGCGAATGGCTTGTCTGATCGATCCTGACCTCACATCCTATCCTGATTCTGCCAGACGCTGGTGTCCGTCAAAATGCCGAGCACCAGCTGGAGGCTGCCGCACGCGACAACTATGTGAGCCCCAGTGCGTCGATGTGGCTGAGTGTTAGCGCAAGACTGACATGCCTGGACTCGGCTTTCAACAGGGCGCATACGTGGGCATGCTCGCAGCTGAGCTCGCCAACGAATCGACTGCTCCTCATCTGCGCAATGCCGCCGGTCTTGCGGTCAAGAATGCGCTGACAGCCAGAGACGCAGCGAGGCAGGAGGAATTCGCGAATAGGTGGACTAGTCTGCCTGAAGATGCTCGCTCGGACGTCAAGGCCAAGACATTCAGCACGTTGAGCAGTCAGGATGGCAGAGCTGGTTACTCGGCTGCTCAAGTCATCGCTGCTATCGCCGGTATCGAAATTCCTCGCGGGCTGTGGAATGAGCTGATTGGACAGTTGACCAAGGCAATGGGAGAGACGGCAAACAACTTGTTGAGGCAGGCTGCTTTGCAGACAATCGGTCTGACTTGCGAGGTCATTGTGAGTTTGGCGTGTTTCATCCCAAACTGCGCAGGGCGCTGATGATCATTTCGCGATCTTCTCGCAGTCGAGCTCCTCAAACCCAGAAGTGCTTGCTGCGCAATCCAACGAGATCCTCACAGCAGTGGTGCAAGGAGCCAGAAAGGAAGAGCCCTCTGTCGAAGTGCAGCTTGCCGCTATTCAGGCGCTCTACAACTCTTTGGCCTTCGTCAAAGCCAACTTTGAGAGGGAAGGCGAGCGCAACTACATCATGCAAGTCATCTGTGAGGCGACTCAGCATTCCGATATCCGTATCAAGGTAAATGCCTTCGAGTGCTTGGTAGAAATCATGCATCTATACTACGACAAGATGCGCTACTATATGGAGCAAGCTCTGTTCGGCGTGAGTCGATCTCAGACTTGCGCGCCTAGCGCCCGCACACGGACACGTAGCTGACCCTTCGCCGCGATGCCCCAAAGCTCACGGTTCTAGGCATGCGGGATCCCGAGCCCAGAGTGGCAATGCAAGCAATCGAGTTTTGGGCTACAGTTGCAGAGGAGGAGCTGGACTTGATAATGGAGGCAGATGAGGTGGGTCGATGCCTGAGACTGGGTCTGACCGCCTGACGTGACGACTTGCTCATCCTATCCTTCCCTGTTCCAGGCGCGAGAATTTGGCGAAGAGCCGGAACGTCCTTGCCATGGCTTTGCTCGCATCGCATTGCCAGAGATTCTTCCGGTGCTTCTGGAGACTCTGCGAAACCAGGAAGAAGATGCAGTCGACGACGACTGGACAGTGGCTAAAGCAGCCAGCGCGGCGGTCCAGGGTCTCTCCGACGCCACCACCGACGAAATCGTTGCTTTGGTCATACCCTTCATCGAACAGAACATCCAGAGCCCCGAGTGGAATTCGCGCGATGCCGCCGTCATGTGCTTTGGTTGCATTATGTCCGGACCCAGCTTGGCCAGCTTGGCGCCTCTGGTCAAGCAAGCACTGCCGCAGATCGTCCAGATGCTCCACGACCCGAGTGAATCGGTCAAGGACACTGCTTCATGGACCTTGGGACGGATCACTGATCTTGGATGCGGTGCTATCGACTTGGACAACCAGCTTTCGATCCTCGTGCAGGCTCTTGTGCAAGGACTGCAAGGCGAGCCGCGCGTCGCTACAAACTGCGCTTGGGCTTTGATGAACCTTTGCGACCAGCTCGGCGGCGCGGCCAAGCTTACCCCGGAAGGCAACCCAGCTCCCACAGCCGTCATCTCGCCCTTCTTCGAGGGCATCATCGGCACGCTCTTGGCTGCGTCTGACAGATCTTCCAACGAGGCGAACGCTCGATCGTCCGCTTACGAAGCTCTCAGTACAGCTGTCACAGGCTGCGCTCAGGACACTCTGCCGCACGTCAACAACGTCGCTGTCACAATTCTCGATCGACAGGGCAAACTCAACGCCATGGCTTCTCAATTGGTCGGCATGGATGATCGCACCAGCTGGGCAGAGCTTCAGACAAACTTGTGCTCCGTGCTGCAAGCTCTCACGCGCAGACTTGGAAAAGACATTCTTCCCTTGGGAGATCAGATCATGGGCAGCCTCCTAACCACCGTTCAAGCATGCGGCAGTCAGAGCGAGGCCCTCGAAGATGTGTTCATGGCCATTGGCGCGTTCGCGACTGCGTCAGAGGCCGCCTTTGAGAAGTACCTGCCCTCGTTCAACCCCTTCCTCATTAGCGCCTTGCAAGGACATCAGGATTTGCAGCTTTGCAAGACGGCCATCGGTATCGTTGGAGATGTTTGTCGCGCGTTGGGACCTGCATCCGCACAGTACGCCGAGCCTTACATGGTCGCGCTCACGGAGAATGTGCAAAGCCAGAGTCTTGCTCGGGACGTCAAGCCGGTTATTCTGAGTACATTCGGCGATATCGCCTTGGCTACGGGATCCGGCTTTGCTCCTTTCTTGCCAAACACCATGATGACGCTCGCACAAGCTGCGCAGTCCTCGGTCCTTCCCGAGACACCTGTGAGTGGCGAACGCGGACATGAGAGAGCCCGGGCATCTTCCCTTGTGCTGACATCGTTTCGCCTTTGGCAGACGGATTGGGCCATCGTCGATTTCTTCACTGCTCTCAAAGAGGCTATCGCTGACGCTTACTCCGGCATCGTGGCTGGCGTCGTCGCCGACAGTCGATGTAAGTGTGTCGTTTTGAGGAGCCTCTTCCTGCTAAACAATGGCTTATCCATCCGTTCACTGCAACCACCGCAGCTGATTTGCTTCAGCCTTACGTTGAGTCGATTGTCACTTTCATTGCCAGCGTTGCGCAGTCCTCGCAGGATCGCACAGAGACGCTTCTGCGCTCAGCTATCGGATTGCTGGGTGATGTAAGCGCTGCCTACCCAGGCGGAGAATTGAAAACTCTGCTGCAGCAGGGTTGGGTAGCTGAATTGATCAGAGCAGGTAGAGGAAAGACGATGGGACACGAAACTCGGAAGGTGGCTGCTTGGGCGAGAGAGCAGATCAGGGCGGCCAGTGCCGGGGGCAGCTGAGCGCATGCGTTGTGGATCATGCCCAATCACCAAACTTGGCTAGTCCGCGCAAACCCTAGATGTGCCCCAATCAACTCAACGTTCACGTCACGTCTCCTGAGGGCTGCTTCTCTCTTGTGGTGGCGCAAAAAGGTGAAACGATGCCTCTTCGCATTCTCCATCATCCCCCTGAGCAACCGCCTTCTTTGACTTGGAAATTTGTTCCACTTCCCACACTTTCAATCCATCCCTCCCCTAGCATTTCACTGCAAAGTCTTGTAATACCCAACCATGCATGTAAAAGCCATGGAGACCTCGCACTCCTTTTCAGCAGGTCTTGTCGGCAAAATCAGACACGACACATTTACGACAATAATCAAAGCGTAGAAGCGTAGAATGCAAGGCGTGTGCGACGAAAAGTGTAGTGTAGCTGGAGCATGTATTGATCGAGAGGCTAGCAACATGCTATGCCAAGCCCTATCGCTGCGCCCAGCTAAATTCGCCATCCAGATACCCTTCGGTGGGGGTGAAGGATGGAGTGAGGGAAGGGCCCTGTCGCTTTCAACCCTCTCGCTGCGGCGCGACGGCGACACAGATGGCCCGTCGAGGGAGCTACCGAGCTGGCACGTTGCTCGCTACACATTGGGCTTGTCCAAGTTCAGTTCGTGCATGCACTTACGCAATGAGAACGCATGACGAGCAGCGTCACCTTGCACACCAGATCGCAGGGTGAGCTTTGCCAAGCAGATTGCGATGTTGCGGAAGTGGCTGCTCTGCCTCCCAGACTCGACATTTGGCTGGAGGCCGCATGCCTGCGCTATGACGAGAGGTTTGGCCGGAAAGCGAAGTCTAGCTGCGCGGGCACAATCTCACAGACTCGACTTGAGCCAGCGGACAAAGTCGAGCAACACGTCTCGCCGTGGCTGGTACAGATCGCCAAGCTTGTATCCCAAGGCTTCCAAAGATCTTTCAGCCTCCTGTTCCAAAGCTTTAGCCACTTGTTGAGGATCTCGCAGATCTGCGGCGTGCCGGGTTGTTCCCCCCTCGCGCCTAGGTGCGCTTGCAAGTACGTCATAAGGTACGTCTACGAATTTAGTCGCCATTTCTCCTAGCGCGTCGGAGATCATCGATGATGGGGCTCGTTGTATGTCGAGTTTTGCTTGCTGCACCAAGCCCCCCTTGACGTGCAAATGCAGTGTGAAGTCGACATCGCGCAAAGCACCATCGACAACAGCACGGACCTGGTTGCTGTACCGCAGATCATGTGTGAATTCGGGCGTCTGTCCATGTGTCCATTGCCAGCTCTTCATTTCCTCTCTACCCTTGAGAAAGCGCTCATCTTGGACAAGCGCATGATCCTCTTCCACATGCTGCACTTTGGCCGTCCCATACTTCCTCTCGAATTCTTTGAGAACGCCCTGCTCAAAGTTCTCCAGGTCGAGGGCATGAGCTCGATGAGGATAGGCAGCGCACAGGTTGACCACAGGAGAAGGGACGGAGGCGACTCCTTTGCTTTGCAATGCTTCTCCTCGGATTGGCCTGAGGCTGGAGCCGAGGGTGGACAATTGGGCGGACAGCAACATCGTTCCGTGATGGTAAGCTCTCGCATTGATGAGCTTGTATGCGCTACCGGATACTTTGCGCTCAGCTCCTAAAAGCTCAGGCTGAAGTTGCGACTCGTCGCCGCCCGCTTCCGGCGTCGCTGGTCCTGCCTCTCCATCGTTCGCGGACAAGTCTGACCCTCCTCCTAGCCTGACCCGGACGCAAATGTCGTTTCGGCCATTTACGTAGGCTCCTGCTTGCGTGCCTAGAAACTCTGTCGCGGATGGAGAACCAGGCTGAGGGCTTTGCAACCCTATCGGCTCGGCATTGAGAGCGCGCACGACCAACTCGGAATGCGTGCTGCGGACAAAGTCGGCCTTGTCTACGTGAAAAGAGTAATTGACGTTTCCCAAATCCTACAATAGTGGAGAGAGGATGTCTTCAGTTGGGCGTACGCGCGTGGGGTCCAAGCGCAAGGGAGCGGCTGTCTGCTCGTGGTCCTCGTCAAGTGAATGCTTACATGATAAACTGCACCACCCCCGCTTCTTCGTCGAACCCACTGCAGTTCAAGCCTCCTCATTTCCAGCACATCCAGCTCCTTCCAAGGATTTTGATTGCGCCCAAGGACGACGCATGGCGAAATTCTGTAGATGAGACAAACGGGGATGTGAGATGGACGAGTGCGGAAGAGGTGCTCTTCCAGGCTTAGATTGAATGTGGGTGAAAAGCAGCGGGAAAAGTATGCCTGTGCGTTCGGAGTTGGTGGACTCGTTATGACAGTGTGAGCAGGTTGCGCTCTGCCACGAATCAAAGCACATAGTCTGCCTGCGTTGGCACTCACCTCGGCTTGAGGTCTGTGAACTGCGCGAGTGACGCAGGTGGAGAAGCAGCTACATCGATGGACATTTCTACTACGACTTGTTCTTGGCACCGTCGGCGATGCAGAGTGCGCGATGCGGCCAGAGCCAGTCGATATGAGCTGACGAGCGTAGCTGCTGTCAAGCCGCATCAAGAATGTGAGGGCATTAGCCGTGGTACGCATGTCATCCAAGAGCAGCGTCGTCAGAGGCCTCTAGTTGCTCCTCCGTCCCCTCCTTTCCGACTTTCATCCTCCGCTTTAGATTGACCTTCAATGCCTTTTCTTCGTTCGAGATTGTCTCGCTCCGTACTCTTCCTCTTAGTCATCAATAAGTTCAATCAGGCCGCGCCATTGACCTGGTCTCTCCCTCTTTCTCTCTCGCGCCTCTTGATCCCGACGCGATGCAGACGCAGATGGAAGATGATGAGCAAACTGCTTAACCTCACAATCCCACCAAGAAGTCTATTATGTATGCGCTCGCACGTACGTACGCGTCGCGAATCGAGAAGTTAGAGTCACGAGTCACGAGTTCTGAGTCTTGAGTCAAGAGTTTGAGTCAAGAGTCAAAGTGTCGAGGTCAATCAACAATCACGTGCGGCCGCCTCGTCGGCGCGCGCTCGCTAACCCCGCACACTCATCAAAACTTGATGACTCACGCGTCTCAACACTCACGACTCACGACTCGACTCATGATATCAGACTCATCACTACCGTCTCTAGTCACACATCGCGTGAGAGATTCAGTAGGCATACGCACGCGACTGCTTTCATCTCATTCCTCTCCTTCCCCTGCCTCGTCGTCCCTGCCTCGGCGTGCGCTGATCGCGGCACAGAGGTCCTGCTGTGGTGCGAGTAATCCTCCTCTTGTGCTGCACAGAGCAAAGGTGCTTGGTACCGCAATATGGCATCATCTTCAGGCCCATCAGGGCCGCCCTCCAACCAACATTGGCCTGCGACATCTTCTGACGATGCGGCGTCGCAATTGGCAGCATACAGGCAGAGACATGGTTCCCGCGCACTGCAATCTGACCAAATGGATGAGGACGAGGATGAAAATCAAGTGGCAGCAGAGCTACTTACCGACAATGCCGATTGGCAAAGGATGGAACCGGTTCAGCAAACGTCTGAACGATTGGGCGATGAAAATGCGCTGATTCGAGATCTGCTGCATTCACCTTCTGAAGAAGCGCCTGCTCAGCAACAGGCAAGAGTCGACCCCGTGGGTACAGCTGCCGATGAGCGACAGGCAGGGGCAACGCGAGCTGCAGCTCCGGCCATCGCGCTTGGCAATGTGACTGTGAAGGACTTGAAGAACAGGAATTGTTGGATCTGTGCAGAAGGGGATGCAGAGGATTTGGACACATCTAATGGCAGGACACAAAGGATCAGGAAGTGGTTACACCCTTGTCGTGAGCATTACCCCCCGCAAATTGGTCGCTGAAGCCTTCGCTGACGCAAACGATGGTACTCCTCCTCCTCCATCTTGTGACCCGCAGAATGCAGCTTGGTAGCGCACGAGGTTGTGAGTGTAGACTTCAGAAGAGGCTAGAAGCTTGCATTCGCTTAGCTCCATTCGGCTCTGTGCAGTGTCTCAGACGATGGATCAGGCATGCGGATCGACAAGGAAAGGAGCTCAAATGTCCTCAATGTGCGCAGCCGTACAAGCTCGACGTGCACAAGTCCTTCTTGCTGCGCGCTGGCGAGTTTCTGGAGTTTGCTAGCGCGCTCGGTCTGCCTGCCGTTTCCATCGGTGTAGGTCTGTCCGCGATCGTGCTAGGTCTCACAGCGTACGGATGTGCGGCTACCAGGTCATTCGTCGGAAGAGATGGGTATGCTAAGCTGCTTGGCGGCAAGTGGCCATGGTCTGTGAGTGTCGCTCCTTTCGCCAAATGTGAAGCCTGCGCCCCAACTGAATGTGCTTTGCATCGCTGTTGCACAGCGTTGGATCGAGATGCCTCTCATACCCTTTATGCTGCTTTTGGTGCGCCTAAAGCCAATCGACTTTTTGTCCACCACGACTTTGCTTGCGACACTGAATCCGGTAGGCATTGTCATCGCGCCATCTCCCAACAGTATGGTACCCCCCAACCTCCTCATGGGTCTGTTTCCCAGCCTGAGGAAGGACACAAGAGGGATTTGGCACGTGCGCACGGCCTCGCGCAGGAATTGGCCGCCTGGTCCAGGCGTCACGCTTTTACTGTTCCCTTGGATCAGAGCCGTCTACTCCATTGTCAAGCGAGCCATCACCAGACGCGTGCTTGCTCCTCTCGCACGGCGTGCTGCACCACAGCGCGACGATGGCAGGCCGAGAGATGGCGCCGCTCGACTCGCTGGCATGACAGAAGACTTCGTTGCCAATGTTCATTTCGGCTGGCACGATAGACGTGAGGAACTTCAGCGTCGACATCTTGGACAAGCTCAAGGTAACGCGAATGCGGCGCGCCCACCCGCGCAGCCGAACGCGGTAGGCCAAGCCGCTGCGAATGCGGAGCAGCTAGCAGAGCAGGACCGACTGGATGAGGAGGAGGTGGACAGACTGCAGCGTATCATACTTGAAGCTGGAGGCCCTCAACCCGACCTTCATCTGGCAGACGGTGTGCGGGATGTGGGCCTGGATGCCGAGGGCTTACCACGGCCTGTACCTGCGGGCGCGGCCGCCATCGACGAGCGACCAGTCGAAGAGCAACGCCAGGAAGAAGATGAAGAGGAGGAGGAAGACCCAGAGGAGGAGCAAGGGAACGTGCACGGTGTACACAACGGTAATCAGCGACGAGTCACCATCTACGTCACACCTACGAGCTTGGGTCGATTCTTCCTTGGCACGCTCTCGCTGCCGTTCATTGGGCATGTGCTTGGACAAGCCTTGGCGTGGACTGCTCGCACTTTCGAGTCAAAATGGGCTCTGCGTATCCTGGGCATTGGTCAAGATCCGCACGCAGGCTTGACGGCCGGCAGCGCAAAATCATATCAATCTCCCGTCTCGGCGCTTTTCAAGACTGGAAACCCTTTTGGCCATTCTTTCGACTTTCTGAGCTCTAACGCGTCATCGCAAGAACGATGCGTTGATCCCAAGCAACTGGATTTTGATGAGATGGATCCGATTTGGTGGAGGACCATGATAGGGGCTAGCCTGTGGATCGTCATCAAGGACGCTGCGCAGCTCTATTACAGAGCCGCGAGGCTAAAGCATGCAAAGAACAGAAAGAATTTGCAGGTCGAAGATAAACCATTCCCTCCTCATATGGTTCCTGACTTGGAACTTCGCGAGCGCAGGTAGCTTTGAGCCCTCTTGCAGTCGACTATGGTCTGTCCAGATCAGCAACCTCTTAGCCCACTTACTCTCTTTGAAGAACAAGAAGTGCTTCACCACTCGTACAGTACAGCGCATCATTCGATTCACAAAATGGCACTACGATTCTGCAAAGGCAGCACGCATTGATGATGACTTTCGCACCACTAATGATCAAGCCTTCGCCTTGCTCGACTTGTGCTTGTCTTTGTCCTTGCGCTTCTCCTTCTTGACGGAGATTGGCTTCTCGGTCCTGGACTCATCAGCAAGCTCGATCTTTGGAACCTTCGTTAAGGCTCCCATATCTGTTCCCCCTCGAGCACCAGAGGGCTCGCTGTGCGGTGCATGTGGGCGAGCGTCAGTCTGCGCGTACTGCTTCAAGACGTGTCGTGTGCACGCTTGATGACTTACAAGTATCCCTGGAGCTTCTCCCAGGGCTGCTTGCGCTTGCGATCTGTGCCTGCTGTACCGGGATCGGGCACTGGCGGCAGGGCAGCGACAGGCTGCGAAGCAGCGTCTTCGTCGGTCTTTGAAGCAGGATTGCGCACAATGTACAGATGCCGGGAGATGGGCGCCGATGCTGCCCCAATGGAAAGCGGATGGGAGCGCTGATCAGCACTTTTTTGCCATTCACTCGAGAATGCAGTCAGTTGCGCATTCTACGCTCACACAGTCTCAGTCCACCTGCTTGACCTTTGGGAAGCAGCAGCCTCATACCTTCCATCTCCATAGGCCCTGAGCTCAGATGATTGTACACCTGCTGCCTCCTTTCTTCCTCGTCCCCCTTTCGCTGACTGGACCCCGCCGCCATGGCTATCAATTGTGTAGGCGCTGCAGAGTCTCCACCTCCCACGCCCGGTGCTCCACCCGAGCTTGTGAGACTTTTCTTGCTGGCTTGCGCATTCGAGGCTTGCGATGCTAGCGCCAAAGAGTAGAGCAGCAATTTGCCTTTGCCGGCGCCTTGAGGTGTGGCCGTCGTTGCATCAAAAGTAGCAAGCGGCGCGCCTGCTTGTTCCGTAGCGCGGGGTACCTTGATGATCAATCTGTCCAGATCACGAGGTTTGACACCATCCGGCAGCTTGATGCTCCAAATCTGTTTACCTCCGCCGAGATCTGTCAAGTTGGAGTCGGATTGAAGGTCGGACTCTTTGAAACCTTTGGGGACGCCTTTGATGCTAGATGAAGAAGTGCTGCTACTCTTGCGTCCGCTGCTCGGACCTGCCTCTGCATTCTGATGGCGCGACATCTTTGCGACTTGGCTTGTCCGCCAGTCAGAAAGCGGGTCGACAGAGGGCGATTGGAGCTGGCGCGTGATGCGAATGAATGTTCGGGTCTCGATTAGAGCAATCACGAATGGATCGGGGAGGATGGATGAAGCGTGCGCATCTGTCTATCCGGCGTGGCATCGCGCTTTCCGTGTTCACACTGTACAGAAATCGTGAATTCAAAAATCGCAATTGCACGAGCGCTCGAGGCTATAGGAAGACGCCTCTCGTACGAGACATCCCTCCACCTTTGTGTCGCATGCCTCATTGCGAAAATTTTGAATTCCTTCGCGAGAGGGTGGGTTACAAATCCACTTCGTTGGAGTTGATGTGAGAATCAGTGATGAATGCAAAATCTGACAGACCTTATGGATGCGCCACGAATCTTGAATGAAAGGATGACATTTCAGCAGCGCGGGCCGTCCCCGCGGTGATGATTAGGATTGCGCGCAGTCAATCTTGAAGATTACGATTCGTGATTAAAGATTCGTGAATCGCGCTCAGAGTCTTCCAAATTCTTGATGATTTTGATTCACGATTGACAGGCTCGAGTGGTCAATCAACGGTGATTTCGTCATCTTGATTGATTCATTTCATTTTGATTCGTTGCATTGGTCCACCAACTTTCGAGCACAACATCACTCATCTCCCTCTCTCCTGCAATTACCTTCTCGCCCTCACATCTTCCCCCTCTGCTCATCGACCGTCAAGCTCATCACCCACCTTGAGCTCCACTCGATCACTCTTCGCAGCTGCAATTTCACGTGGTCTCCTTTGAGCTTGGTCAACAGCGTCCAAACGCATTCGAGCCGAAAGCTGTGTGCTTTGCTTGATCCATTCCTCACCACATCAACCACACCTTCAACCCGCTACCGCACACATCTTTGAACCATGTCATACGACCGTCGACCTCCTTACCCGCCTGCCAGAGGCGGCAGAGGCGATCCGTACGACAGACCGCCAGCTCCCAGAACGGTGAGTATATACCATTTGTCATCGTCACCCCATGCGCTGCGTGGGCCGCAAGTCAACATCACAACGCACACGTCATGCGACATCCTTGCTGAAGTCAGCCCAACATGCGCGCATACAGGTACTCTTCGTTGCCAATTTCCCACCAGACATGCCGGCAAGAGAGTTGGCGTACGAGTTTGAGAGAATAGGTCCACTGGTGCGATGCGACATTCCTGCACCAAAGGGAGCAGGAGCCAGAACGTGAGTCTCCTTCTCTCAACGAAGCGATGCGACGAATTACGCCGTGATTAGCGGGGCGGATCGGTACGTCAAGATGTTCCTCTCGCTTCTACGCTCCACCATGCTGTGTGCGTGCGCAGCGAGCGACTTTCAACAGCTTCGCAAGCGCTACCGACGCGAAGTACGATGCACTGCTTCTTGCACGCGAGAGGAAATATACGCGCAGACCTAGCGATGAAGGTCGTCGCGTTGATGCTTCGTCAGGCCGCAAGTCGCACGAGGTTGGCAGCCGTGAGATTGACTCAAGAAGGGGAGGCGTTCGCTCAGCTGCGTGCCTGTTTACCTTGGGGTCGCCACCCACCGCGCGCATTCCATAGGAGCCTCTCGCTGCAAGTCAAAGGCGACTTTGTGCGAAAAGTCTCTCTGACGCAATGCCGCCGTCGTACCCCCGATCTTGCCTACCGTCGCGATATACATGCAACAACAATACCACAGCGCATTCGCCTTTGTGGAGTACCAAGATGCTAGAGACGCCTACGTGAGTCAACGGCCCGACAGCGCAGCTTGCATGTCATTCACACTACGCAACCTGACGGGTTACGGCGACTATTCTACTCTCCTTCCTCCTCCGTCGACGCGGGCGTCTTGTCCACCTCTCGCGATTGGTGCACGTCAATCACAATCAGGCTGCGCACGAGGAGCTCCATGGCATTCAATTTGGACGCTACACTGTGTCGATCCAATTTGCTAAGGTGAGCTAGCTGCTCCTTCTCGGCGAATCTCCAACGCCCACGTCTTGCCGAGATGCGTGGCTTGCATTTATCTCATCGCACTGCAGAGATGCGGGGCGCCGAGACTGGATGTATACGCTATACGTGGGCAGACGTGCCCGCCGCGGATTCTTGTGTAGCATATGCATGGCTGCTGATACGTGATTCCCTTTCGCCTCTGCTTTCTCTCCTCTCTTCCTGATGGCTCTCCCATCGCGATCCGTTACGATGTGCGGGCCGGTTTCTGAAGAATGCACCCTCGGCGCAATGGCGCTTCGACGAGCCTGGGGCACCGCCGCCGCCTGGACCGTCGCGTCGTGGACCACCACCACCCGAAGCCCCGTACGACAGTCGTCGAGACTTTCCGGACCGCCGGAGAGACGACAGACCACCGGCAAGGGAGGAGCCTTACGCTCGAGGCTACAGGGATGAGGAGCATCCTCGTCGCAGGGACTACGCTAACGGGTCTGACAGACCACCTCGGCTTGATCGCGAGGCGGACAGAAACGGCCGCGACCGCAGGGGAAGATACGAAGAGGATGACCGTCGACGCGAGAGAAGCCCAGCAAGGGAGGACAGGCGAGGAAACACTCGCAGCCCTGCTCGCGAGCGCCGTGAGGAATATGTCGAGCCATCAGTGAGTTTATTGCGAGTCCTTATAGGTCTTCAGGACTAGGCTGAGGGACGAAATGCCCTCGATCTTGAACAGACGTCTTCCCGGTCAGCGCCAAAGGAGGATGATGCTGCCCTGTACGATGATTGAGGAGAGTACGGGTCACAAGCAGAGTGCCTAGTGCGGGAGTCATCCACCACATTACTGTAACATAGAGGGAGACCAAGGAGGACCAAACGGCACCCTCAAGCTTGCTCCTTCCCAAAGCCGGCCCCGCCGTGTGCAAAACAGGGCGCCATGTGCAGAGCAATGAAAGGAGTCAAATTGCGATCATGCCCAGCGTAGTTGAGCGCCGACTGAGGACGAGAAGTCGGCCTTAGAAGCGGAGAGGGTGTGCCACTCAAAATCTGCTGTTGGTCCTAACGCTGTCTGCTCTGTCAGAAAGTCGCAGGGAGATATGAGCAATGACAAACGATTGGCGACGCAGCCAGTCTGCATGTCTGGCGCGCCTGAAGCTTCCAGCTTGGCGCTCGAATCGTCGTGCGCACTCGATGCGCCTCTAAGAAGCGATCTAGCAAGCGTCAACGTCGCTGCCTTTCCCGCAGCGGAGCTCGACGCGCTCAACAGGCCCGGATCTGCCCACCACTGCTCATCTGCGATCGGTCAAGTGACTGTGTCAGCGAAGCACCCTAGCAAAGACGTGCCTGCTGCACAAGACTTACGTGAAAGTGCAGCGTCGCAAGTGAAGGATTGGAAAATCTCCAAAGCGCGATCCGGGTTGACCGAAGACTTTGCAGCAGCGTTCAAGAGGCGACGGTGCGCCAGATCAAGCACTTCGAATCTTGCTTCTTCATCCCCACCAGGCGCAATGTCCTTGACCTTAGCAGTCTCTCCTTGGCGTCGCCGGCCATGCTTCGATCGGTCCAGCCAATGCATGAGTCTCAAAGAGAACTGCAAAGCTTGGCAAAGGAGCCGTCGGGGCACCTCGAGGATAAAGAGACCGAGCAAAGCCGATGCATCGCGGCAGACATTTCCCTTTCCGGAAATTTCAGTCGTGTCATCGTCCACACTCGAGGGCGGTGTGGACAGAGCCTCGGCAGCATCAAGAAGCAGAGCTCCGCGCGCGAGAGCATTGAGTGTGCTGAGAAGCCACTCCACGTGGTCCACAAGTTTCCTGATTGGGTCTGTGTGACATCGCAGATTAGCGATAGTAACACCCATTGGTCCCGGAAGTGCACCTCTGACTCACTCAGGGCAAAGCTCGAGTTTTGCTCTTCCCGACTTTCAGCTCGACACAGCGCATCGCAGACGCGACTCAAGCGCAGGACTGTACGAGGCTGGGTAGCGCCATTGGGCCACACCGACGCGTTGAGATGCAGCAGTCTGAGCAGTTGCCATAAGTCGGGACGCTGGACACCTAGGATTTGTCCTGCACTAGCAATTATGCTACGGAGGTGTTCTAGATCGAGCACAAAGATGCGACAGAAGTGAGCACCGCTGCTGCTTCGCGCAAAATCCACAAACGACGTACCTTTAGTAGAGCAAGCGAGATGAGCCTTGACAAGATCGCTTGCGTCCGTTCCTCTCAAGATGGACAGTGCGAGAAGTTGCGCCAAAGATGAGTTCGCCTGAACGTCTTCTTGGCTTTCTTCGTGCCGACGCATCGAGAAGATGCACAACCGTGGTTCCGGCCCACGGCCATCAAGAGACGCCCCTAAGCACTCGTTTGAAGAGGCAGCTGCCACACGTTTACAAGCGCGAGATGAGCAGCATTCAGGCGCTCGACACCGATGGTCATCATGACTCACCCAAGTACCTCGCGCCGGGGGGCAAGCGGTGCAGCGTACCTTCTACAGGCTCCAAAGTGTCCCTGCGACGAAGCAGAATGAGGTTTTCAGCCGCTAAAACGTGACAATCATCAGCATTGTTACGCACGCATAATATAGCCGGCTTTCTGAGACCGTCTTCTGCGCGTCTACGTCGAACGGATTCGAAGTGCAAATGCGGAGCGTATTGACAGACAGGCTTGTGGCCATGCCCTCCAGCTTTACTGCGCCAAGCTCGCAAGACACCGACGATGTGGCAGACCAATCCAAAGTGGGTGGAGGGAGCTCTGACTTCTTGCATTCTAACGAGTTGAATGCGTCCACGAGCTGAGAAGATGTCCGTTCGACACGCCACGACCGAATCGAGGCGCTGCTGAGCGTCGTATGAAGGGGATCAGAGTCTCCAGAATATCCAGCAAACAGGCGCAAGGATGCAGAGACATTTGAGCCGGGAGATGGGTATGGCACGTGCCATTGAAGGTGCCTTGGTCTCGACAGCGGTCGAGCGCCGTCGCTAGGAGCGAGTGATATAGGCTCCAGCGTTCGAGTGCTGATGAAGGGTTCGCTGTGAACACCTTCCAGACCGACTCTAATTTCTCGCAAATGAACCCATCCACGTAAGCTATCATCCAGCACATGTGTCGCTCCAATGCTCGTCGCTGTTCCGACCAAGGTGCCAGGCGTTCTTCCGGCATTCGGTGTGGTCGAGATTTGAGCTTGAGCTAAGAGCGCTGCTGCTGCCGCGTTGTTTGGTGAGGTTGCGAGCGGGTCCGGCGTGACGTCGTGGCTCCCACTACCGCTGTCAAGCCCTTGCGACGTAGCTCTGAGGCTGAAAGCCAACATCAAAGTTGGCTCTAGAGGAGAAGAAGGACATGAAATTAGGTTGTGATAGCAAGAGAAGCAGATGAAAGCCGATTACCCACCCCCCGGCACCGGACACGCGGCGATCTGGTCGATGCGATGATGGACAAAGTGTTCCTCATCACCTAGAGTTGTCTCGAAGAGAGTCTCCCCACTAGACCGCAAAGTAATGGTCGAGCTCAGCAGGGTGCTCCGCCAAAGCTGAAAGGGCGACTTGCTGAAGGCGCGACGCAACACGAATACCTGGATCATGCGCATGGGCAGCGAGGGTCAGTGGAGTCTTTGGCATCGCGCGCGTCTCGCAAGCAGTAACCACGTACATCTCCCCTCGCATTTACGAGTATGGCTGCCTCCGAGCCTGGCGCGGTAGGTGTGGGTCCAGCCGCTGCTGTTTGCACAAAAACGCGTCTTGGGCCATGATTGCTTGAGCCGCCTTCTGCAAATGACAAGGGATCTCCAAGCCCTGGAGCAAGTCTCCACTATTTGATGCGTGGGGTCGTCACTGAGCTCGGTGACGGACGTCGAAAAGAGGCGCATCCGAAGCACTCACATCAGCCTTCTGACCGCACCATGAAGCGTGAACCATCTCTGATCCTCCATCTCGCACCTCGACCGGCAAAGCCACCTCCTTCCACCGGTTCCACGGGTCTCTGCCTGAGCGCACCCAGCAGAAAGTCCTGCTCTTAACCATTCGAGCTCGAGGCTCGAGATTGATTGTCTCTTCAGCAATCGGGGCGCCTGGGACCTCATCATGTGGTGCGGCAAACGAGGCCAGCAGAGTAGTGCCACTGCAGCTCAAACTGACAAGGTTGGGCTTGGGTAGGCGTCGCTGCCGGTGCTGTGCGAGGTCGAAATGAGCGGGTCGCAGCTGGCAGGACTTGGATGTGATGGCGTTGACGACCGCCACTCCGCCAGGTGTAGGTGCGCATACAACCGGCACATTCGCAGCCCATACGACGTTGTGCGATGGCGGAGGTGCTACGCTATTGGCGAAACGTGAGGCATTGAGCAATGCTTGGCTGACAGGCTCATTTGAGGCATCATCTGCCAGGGCTTGATCTCTCGACAATCGCGGACGCTTTGAAGCAGGTGCGGCCATGTTCCCCAAGTTGCCCGTCGTAGTAGGCAAAGAGTGAGTGGTTGATGTGAGGTGCGCGGAGTAAGCTGGGAGATGGTGCTAAAGCACCGCGAATCCATCTGTCGATGCCTTCCGATCGCGCAGCTTGTGCTGACTTGGCGAGATTTTTAAGTCGAGCGTCACCATACCAATTTAAAGAGCCAAAACGATGAGTGGCATAGGGGAGCACTCAAAAGTGTGCGTACTTACTCGTCGATAGACCCAACGACTGTGACTGTTGGGTGGACATATCCGTAGCTTTGCCTGCTGGTCGATCGCGGAGATGCGCGCGGTCAAGCGGTGCGTGACCACGAGAAGATTCCGGAGTCACAGTCACAGTCAAGCCACGCTAAGCCTCCGCATACCGCGTATGTGAAGCGAGCGTGGTGACGGCGTACGTTTGACTGGCGCGCGACTCGCGACGCTGCTGCACTCAGACTCAGCAGCAGACTCACGACTGGTGACTGCTGCATGATGTTGCGGTGTTGTCTTTCGCCTCCACCTCGCGCTAGCAGTGTGAGTTCATCGAGTCTCTTGAGTCTGAGTCGTCACAGGGGCGAAGGCCTTCGCGAAGCCGACAACACGGCACACGACTTCGCATCATGGTATCGGCATTTACTCACGCCTTCCACCTTCCTCCCAAAGCACCTTGACAGCTCCACCTACCACGTAATCGTGCGGACGGTAGACTGTGCATGAACGCTCGCTCGCAAGTCAGGTATATGCTACGTCTGCCGAAGCCTGCCTCCGTCTGCCTACCTGCACGCGCTTCGAAGGGCCTCTTTGCTTCGGTCCTTTGCAAACGTGTTCATCAAGCACCAGCCCTCTTCTGCCCGCACCGACATTGCTCGACGATGCCGGAGGAGTCGGTATGCGTTTTTGTTCGATGGGCTTCAATTGCTTCGAGAGACGAGTCGTGAACTGACGCAAAGCCCTCTCCTGGCGGTCTGCAGCCATTCATGGATGGGCCCCTTGCGGGCCACGCTGCCAAAGTCGTTCCAGAGGAGCGCGACGTTGAAGGATGAGCTGCTTGAAGATGTGCTCCGATCTATGCACGTCATTGCACCTCTTGCGCTTGCAGATACCACTTGGGACAACGTTGGGCTCATCAGTCAAGCTCCCGTGCCTCGCAAAGGTGCGGACAAGGTGTACCTCGCCATAGACCTGACGGAAGAGGTAGCGAACGACATTCTCTCCAAACCCAAGGTGGGAGCTGCGGTCATCTATCATCCGTGAGTGAATGTCGAGGAGCTGTTGACCAGTGTTCTGTCCCTCTTATGCGCTTTGTCAAGTGCCTCGTAGAATCATATTTCGACCCCTCAAGTCTCTTACGCTTGCTGACTCTCAGCAACGATCGCTGCTCAAGCTGATTCAGGCGGGCGTCAGCGTATACTGCCCTCATACATCACTAGACGCCGCAGTCGGAGGCATGACTGGTAAGCAGACGGTCGTCCATCTTTCCTCTTCCGACGCATTCAGTATGCTTACACGCTACCCGCTCGTCGACGTCGTTACTCCCTCAAGACTGGCTCGCAAAGGCCGTTGCACAATCCCCATTCGGCGTGTTGGAGAGCTCAGATTGGAGAGTGAACGAATTGGCTGATCAGCAAGATTCGCAATTACTGCGAAATCTTGCTATGCCCTTCAAAATAGCTACCATACTCAAGGACGAGAGCACTGAGGAGCTGGAGTACAATCCCGATCTCATTTTTGCAGGCTCGCGGCCGGTGATCAAGCCCATCATTCCAAGCGACCCGAAACAAGCGGGCCATGAGGCTGCTGGCATGGGAAGGCTCGTGACCCTTCCGAAGCCTGACTTTCTCGACACGGTGATCTCTCACATGAGAGAGTTCGTCAAGGTTGGAACAGAGCAATGGACTGGCGACTTCACCAACTTCGCTCGCGATCTCCACGATCCTGGAAACGTAGGTGCGTATAGAGGGTGATCTCGAGCCATTGGGCGGTGGCCATCAGTATTTTGACGTGCTAACCTCGCCATGACCTGCAAACATCAGTCAGAGTAGCAAGAGCTGCACGGCATGAGAATGGTTACCAAGGGAAGCGCATCAGCAAGATTGCTGTCTGTCCAGGCTCTGGAGGATCCGTCTTCAAGAACGTGGAAGCCGACGTATGTGAGTTGCTCTTTGGAGATTTTTTTCGGCCATAACTCGTGCGGGAAGGACCCGCAGTGTCCGACAAGTTCGAGTGACTGAGCCTTTGCTTGGCTCCGCGCTCCTTTACTGACCTTTGTACACCTCTTCGCCAGACGTCACTGGCGAACTTTCCCATGTGAGCATTGTTGGAGCATAACCTGTGCGAGGCCTAGGTCAGAGCGCTAAATCTTGAGCGCGTATACCTCCTTTCGAAAGCACGAGATCCTACATTTCACTCAACAGAAACACTCGAGCGTGGTCTTGCTCAACCACACCAACTCCGAGAGACCATATTTGCCCATACTCGCTCTTCGCCTGGGCGCAGCTCTCGAGCTCGCTCGCCACGGTCGTCAAGGGGCATCTGGTCCCCCGCCCAGTGGGAAGCCGGCCCTACAAAAGGCTCTCGATCGCGTCGTCGTCGGCAACAAAGATCGCGACCCGATCGAAGATGCCGGACCCAAACGTCCAATGAGAACACTTCAGGAGATGCTCTCGCCCAGCTAGCAAACGCAGCTGTCCTTTGCACAGGCGTCTTTGTCACTCCCTGCATCCGTTGCGTGTTCATTCAGCTGCTCAAGAGACTCATCCGATCCTCCAAAATATCACAGGGGATCTTTCAAGGTAGACGTAGCGAGGATGCCCCATCGTGTAACAAGAAACCAAGCTACATTACAATGCTCATGGGTAGCTACTGAACAAGGCCATACAGAGAAGGAGAGAGTGGGCTGCAGATTACGTGGTGTTCCAGAGGAGTCTTCCTTTGGTTCGCTAAAGCACCGCTTAGAAAGTAAGATACGGTGTGATCGGCATCAACCTCTCGCACGTTTGCTACGCGCAGACTCGACCGGAGCTTCAGCTTCGAGAGCGCGCTTAGCACCGCCCGAAGCCTCGTCCACAGCCATCTCGACATCGCCGCCCTTCTGAGCAGCAACGTCGCGGGCAGAAGCAGCTGCAGCCCCAGCAACAGCACCTTCGGCAAATTGGCGCAGGGCTTCGGCATCATCGTGCGAAGGTGCTGGAACACCGGCTTCCGCAGCCGTAGGGTCTCCCGCATCGTGCTCGTTGAATTGGTGTTGTTGTTTGATGTCTCCAGAGTATTCCTGTGACCTATCTTCAGGATAGTAGATGTCGCCCTGGCCTTGGTCGTTGCCCTCGGCAGCGGGAGCTGGCGCAGGTGGCTGGCTCTCGTCGCCTTGAAGGTTGTACTGATCTCTCAACCGCTCGCTGTCCTGCTTTGCGCTCTCAAGTTGCGCTGAGGCGGGCGGGTTATCTTCAGCAGGAGGCAGACCCAGCTGCTCACGGAAACGGCCATTCTCGCGCTTCAAGTCGTCGAATTGTGCCTGGAGATCGGACATTGCCTGGTCCATCAACAGTTTTTCCAACGTCCACTTCTCGAGATTGCTATGGTCTTCCTTCTTCAGCTTGATGATGTACTCGTTGACCTTTTGCAAAAGGGTACTCTTTGGCTGCTTGGGATCGATGCCGGGCACCAGGCTGGCCAGGGTTTCAATGTTCTGGGACAGCACCTCTCGCCTCCTTCTTTCTACCTCTTTCTGTATGCGAGGCAAGTGGTGCTCATTAGCCATCAAAGCCGCGCATATTCGCTCCATTTAAGAACTTACATGCTTGTCCTTGAGCTCGCGTTCGCTCATTTCTTTTCTAGACTTGCCCTTCTTGCCGCCCTTGATGTCATCAACACTTTCATCAAAGTAGCCAGCAGCTCTAGCGTCTTCCTCGCTCATACCCTCAGGGATCGCCTTCCATGGCTTGTCTCCCTTGTTCTCGGTCCCTCCTTCGCCTGCTTGTTCACCGTTGGCCGAAGGGGGGTCACCACCAGCAAGAGCGCCCATAGCCGCGATGGCTTCGTCTTCAGGTCCCAGGGTGTCGCGGCGAATCTCCGAAGAATCCGCATTCTGACCTTCTCCTGCGGGAGCGTCTTGACTTGCGAATGCATTGCCCGACTGGCCTTGACCGTACACGGGACGGTAGTCATCTTGGTCATCTTTGCCATCGCGTTGACCATTCTCGTGATGTGGTTCAGTTGAACGCCTCTCGCCAGAGGCGAATGACGTCAATGCGTCCGCCGCCTGATCGTGGTCCAGAGAGCCTCCCTCCGCCGATGCTTCATTATCAGCCGGTGCTGCGTTGCGTCATGGTCAACTCGGTCAATTCTACGTCTATCTGCTTTGAGATCTTAGATGAAAACTTACGCTGACTAGAATCACCATCGGCCCCCCTTTGTTGCTGATGACACGAAGGAGGAAGATCAGTGAGACTCTGCGCTTGACAACGCCGGATACAGCCCCAGCGCACGCCTGCTCAACGGCAGCCTTGCTGAGTTCAGACTCACAGCAGCGTAGGCCAGGAACGCCGTGGTCAAATCTTGATCATCTTCATTCTCTTGATCTCCATCGCGATTGGTCTGCGACGCGTCAAGCCCCGTCACAGTCTCACCTGCCTCGCCCTCTGGTAAAGGAGCAGGTGCTGGCTCTTGAGGCTGAGACGATTGCTCAGCATCTTGCACTAGCTGACCATTGTGGTGTGTTGACATCTTGACGGTAGTCGCCGATGATCTCTTTCGTGGCAGGGATGATTTGGTTGGCGATAAACCTTACCACCTGGGTTGGAGTCTCGAGTGTGGTGTCCGTCACGTGCGAAGTTGGGGTCGCGCTTGGACGCGTTCCACTTGTCGGTCACGAGTGTCGAACTGCTGAAAGCGCGACTGGAGGACAGGTCAGCGAATAGCTTTCGTCGAACGGCAAGGCAACCACCTTCCACGAATGTTGGCGGCTTGAGTGGAGAAATGGTGGTGAGGAATTGCGGCGTGGCGGACAGAGCTGGTGCTATGAGGGAAAGGGCGCAAAGTCGCGTCACGTTGGCAAGTTGGGTGAATGTGGTGGGCGTGAATGGCAGGGCGCGGTGGTTGGCGCGACTTTGGGGGCGGGGAGGGAAGTTTTTGCACGTGCTTCAAATTCGAACGGGCGCCCGCGCGGCTTGGCTTGGCTTGTTGCTCATGCTGCCGTGCTGCATGGGTATAGCCATCATGCTGCCCCACCGTGCAGCTGATGCAGGCTGGCTGCACCGTGGGGCGTCTGAGCCGTGTCGTGTCGCGCAAGCATGCAGACGATTTGCGCTGGTGGGATGCGGCTGCATGCTGCTTGCTGCTTGCGACCGGAAGCAGCGCATGCAGCGCAGCGCGTGGCGGCGGCCCACCATCGTGCGCGCGGCTTGCACCAGCAAAAACGCAACACGTGGCAAATTCTGATGGAGCGGCCGGACCACACGCGCGCACCCTTTCTTGACTGCTACAGTATGCACGGCCTCTAGCCGTGGCCGCGGTCGGGCTCAGCGCCTATAGCAGCAGCAGCAGCAGCAGCTGGGCATGACTTCCAGCTCGCTTGCAGCGCGGCGCGGCGCGGAGGAAACTCACGCACGCCTCGCGAGTCGCGACTGCAGTCACGGAGTCACAGTCATGAGTGGCGGGTTGGAGAAGGGCGGGGGACCGCTTAGCACACCGTGACTGCT